CAGAAAGGAAAGGAAAGCTTCTTCATTTCTGTAAGCATCTGACGCGCCTCAGAGAGGGCAAATCTGGTTTCTCCAACCTCAGCGTGTCCTGAACTGAAGCCAGACCTGCATTATGAAACATATTTTAAACTAAACCAATTGCTACTTTCCAGAACAGAGCAGTAAAAGCAGCATGAATCCACCTCTTAATGTTTACATTGTAGGCAATGTGTTAAAGTACTCAAAATATTTATAGAATAGATTTTTTTCAAGGAGTAGGTACCTGAAGGTGTAGATTGGGACTTTTGAGAATCTAAGCAGTTGCACAAAATTAATTTTGAAATCAGGGGGCAATGATCACCCTAATAATTTCAAAATGCTACTAGGCTTTTAAACATATTTCTTATTATATAAGTAACTGTAAAATACATTCCAAATACTTAGGAGCGCAAGGTTCTTTTAAAGAAGGTGAGTAAATGGTCAGACCTACAGTCCAGCTGTTCACACACAAGTAAACACGGGTTAACTGCACACACACTCTTGTGGCCTGTCATGGACTAGCAGCATAACACATTAGCTTAAATCTCTGGTTTATATGTCTCAGGCTCCTTGCTGTCCATGGCTAGTTATCTTTCTGATGGGCTACCTAAGATAATGATACCTTAGAGTTTCTCTGTACCGACTGCACATGCGTAGACACCATACCAGCTGTGAGTAACGTTGCCCACAAATTCTTAAACCTAAAGCTTAAGCTAACAAATTTGGTCTCGTACTTGCTTGCCTCAACAGGCTATGAGAAAGCACCCAGGCTACAGTCAAACTAACCAGCTTGGGTGTCTAGGCTCACAGGGACAGGAAAATCCAAGTTATGAGGAATTTCAGTGAAAATATGGAGCTTCTGCTCACCCTAAAGTCTTTTTTACAGGCAGTCCTGGGTTTTCTGACTTTTTGTCTCCCTGGGTCACTAGACCACTGACTTTACCTGGTACTTCTGAACAAGAGCAGATTGATTCCTTCAAAAAGTCATTGCCAAAATTGTATTTTCCTCACTTCACTGCAAAAGGCATACTATCTGTTCCCTCGTCAACACTGAAAACCAGAAAAAGAAGACATCTTTTCATTTTGCAAATTCGCTTGTTGCAAATAAATGCTACAGAAATCTCCCAACTCACTGTTTAAAGAGCAGTCTAACTGAAGACTGGAAAACACCTCACGTGCCTTTAGCCATGAAAATGAATCATTTAATCTAATTTATTCATCTAGACCCCTTTGTAGTCAGCACAATTAGCACCTCTAGCAGCAACTCATGATTTACCATGAGAAGCAGCTATCTCCTTCTTGCCCCTAGTGTGACTTGGCTAAACTTTTTGGCTACTGGAGACTGCTGTTAGCTTCTGGCCATCACACTCGTGAAGTTGTCATGATTTTACCCTCTGGCTCTTGTGTATTATTTCTCATACATTATCAGTTTCATGTATATTAATCTTCAAGCATACTTATCATGTTAATTCTACCTTTTGAAATGGTTTACATCTTAAAACTTTTCAGAGTTAGCAAATAGCCTGAGAAAAGGGCTGAAATCAGAAAGCTAATTTTGATTTTGTCACTGACAAGCTGTGTGTGGCCGCAGGGCTAGACTGTCTCCTTGCAGCCTGCTCCGAGACAGAGGAAATGTGCAGTTGCACTGCTCTCAGCAGCAAAATACAGACCAAATTGTGACTCGTTGTCACATTTCTGTTTGACTCCTCTTGCTCCACTGGGGAAGTAAGTTGTGGCAGACAAACAGCTGGCATAGAAACCTTGTCTTTCTCCCCTCCTCACCTCCTCAGATTAGATCAGTGCACAGTCTCTGGTGCATTGCAGCAGGCAGAGCTGAGTCTCTGTTCACTCTTCTCTGCGTGGGAGGACAAAGTGCCCGGGGACAGCCGTCAGCCTTGCACTGTTGACCTGCAGTAGATTGGACTAGAAAGGACCAACTATAGGGCTGCTGCTGGAGCTATCGTGCACATACAGATTAAGCTGTACGTTGGTAGAAGCTGTTTCTCAGAGTGCCAGGCTTTTTGTATTCATATTTCAGCAGTGGTAGCTCTAACTACATCTGCCATTGAGTCCAGCTTAATGCCCGTGTTCATGACCACAGCAGAGTAGTATAGTTAGATACCCATGCCTTTCTAGGCAAAGTCTTGAGTGGATCACAGTGAAGTCCCTGGCCATTACAGAATATTCAGTCACAGCTGAAATGTAACAACAACAACAGTAACAATAAAAATAATAGATCCTGAGAGTGTTGCAAAGATGGAGTACTTAGTATCTGTACAGAGATTTTTTTTTGTATACAATTTTAAGGACTTCCACATTTTGATAGTACATTTCTGTGGCTGCAGTTCCATGTAATCTGAGGAAGCTGAAGATAATCCTTTGGAATCTTCTCCTAAATATCTACCAGCAGGAGACCTAGGTCCTGCCAGCTTTCTGAGGACATTTATAAATTGCTGTCTTCAGAGATTTCCTTTTGTCTTTCACCGGGTGCACTTCACCAGTATTTCCAGAACTAACAATTTGTAGCTGTGGAAACGAACAGACACCACATGTGGCTTGTGATGCAAGTAGATGGACCAACGTCATTGCTTGGTGGCTACATTTTTAAGCTACTTAGTCACATTGTCATTACCATGATGTTGACCTGAACAAGCACCCCATTGGCCCCATGCGTCTTGTCTCTGAACAGATCATGGTACTGACATAGGCTGTCAGGAAAAGATACCTTGAGACGTGCACCAACAGTATCACTTTGCCAGGGCTGGACCTTCTCTCTAAGCCAGCAGCCACACTGTCCACAGCAGTGTTGGAGCCCTTGTTGCTGTTGTGCCATGCTCTCTGACATGTCAGCATGGTACCCCAAAAGGCAAGGAGCCAAACAGTCTGGCTCATGTGTGGCTGGCAGTGGAAAATAAAGTTAAGAATACCTACCACACGGAGCAAGTACTTTAATCTTAATAAAGTCATGAAGACCCGAGAAAATCATGAGCTGGGACGTAAAATGAAACTAAATAAAATAAAAAAGGAATTGTGTGAAGCAAGAGATACTTTAATTGGTTTTTCTTTTGTCCAAAATATATGTTGCTGCAATTCAGTTATGAACTTTTAGACTGCCTTGTGAGTGCCAGCAGTAGCCCCAGAGGAAAATAAACTGCAGTGAAACATTAGCCCCAGGCTGAATTCTTAGTCTTCTGCCATGAGTAAAATTTCCATCTTGTGGATCCAGAGTTTAAAAATCAGCCAGTCAACAGAAGTTCATTCCAAATATAAGAAAGCAAAACTAAACTAAACTAAACTAAGCTAGGCTAATTTTATGGCTTATTTACCTGTCATGCTGAAGGTCAGATTACTGTGGAGCTGATGTCCCTTACCACCTGAAGGCTATTGCTTTGCACAGAAGAAACACAGAAGACAGACACACAATATTATAGCTAAGGAACACGTGTAAAAACAGAATATAAGCACTATAAAAAATTTCAAATTCTTTGTTGTGTTTTTATTTTATTTTAGAGTCTTTTATTACCTTTCTTTAGTAAGCTAAATGACTGAAAAGTCACTTCCAGACTGACTGAGAAGTCTTCTGGTTATGCTATAAATTTTAGACTAAAACTCTGGCTAAACATGGGATTTACTTCTCTTGGAGAACCTTGCAAGAGGTACTTCCATACTGCTTCTCTGATAGTATTAATGCATGCACTTTGGAAGACAAATATAATTTCATGCATTTCCCTGATGGCAGGTACAAAATAACCAATGTTTCCAACAAACCTGGTTAAGAATATCCAGTAAACTAGTGCTAGCATTTGGGTTAGAGCTGTCAGGCTGAGCCACCTGTTTTGGAAGTCTTTACTGCCAGAAGCAAATTATAGATCCGTCCAACTGCTGATTAAAAAAATCACACGCACGTTGTCTCCTTGCTGGGAATAACCAGACATCAGGCAAGGATTGTGCAATTTGACATTAGTCCTAACTTCAGTCCTTTAGAAGAGCACAGGCTCCCTCTCTAACAGCACTTAATGCAGGTCCTCTTACAAATATTAACAATGAAAAATGGAAGATGAAAAGGACAGCTTTCATACACTGAAACAACACATAATCTTGACAAGTAGAGTAAAAATAACTTTCAGATGACTGTTTGGAGGCATTTTTTTTGGCAGAGTCATTATTAAATTTGGATAAACGGTGGAGTAATCTACACTGGAAAAAAAATTTGGAATGAAATTCAACTAAAATATTCAGCACTAAATTTAAAGAAGGTTGCCTTTTAAATATATCCCCTGTCTGACTGTGGTTGATAAAATATTGTTATGCATCTAAAATGTTATTTAAATATGAATGGTCAGGAAATATTAAAGTACATGAAATATTCATATCTTAGAATATGTATTTATTGGTTAATACAATTGCTTTTCATTATTGCAGGCCTAGGTCTGGCGTACTTCTTTCAGTAAAACTTTCACTGACTTCTTTAGTAGTTTACCTGATAAGGATTGCAGAGTTGATAGCTTTTATCCTTCGGTGACTTCAAATACAGTTCACAAATGCTATGTGCTCCTTATGGAAAAATCAGGGCCACCAAACTAAGCTGTTCTGACTCCGGCAAACCTCTGATTATAAGGGGCTACCAAAGCTTTGCCTGAGCAAAGGCTTCAGGGTGGAACCACCTAACATTTGTATGTTCCTGTTCTTGTACCACTCTAATGGAGCTGCCTAAGCAGTGCTGTTCTGCAAATGAGACTCATGCTATTTTTAGAGGTGTACAGAGATCTAGCTTCATTAACTGGTAGAAACTCAGGCTAGAGGAGTGAAAAAGAAAAATCAGGAAAGAAAAGTAGAAAGCAACCCAACGAACAATATTAAATGGTCCTGGGGTGAAAACATTATTTGCTAAAAGCGACAGATCATATTGACACTCTAGCTCAGTTACACTGTCAAAGTACATATAATGTTTGGTTAATTATATTTGAAAATAGTTACCGTACCTTCTGCTGTAATCTCGGCCATGATGATGATGATAAGAGATACTCTGTTAAAAAGGTCAAGATCTACTGTGGCAGCTTAGATAATGCTTCTGGGCTGCTGGCTCTTGCAGGAGCTGCAGAATGAGAAGGAGGGAGGTCCTCTGCTTTTTCTAATTCTGTTCCTTCTTCTTTTGTGCCCCTCTGAACTTTCTGTTTCCTCTGCAGACTCCTGCCCTCCCAGAGCAACCTAAGGCCTTCCAGAGGCAACACTTAAAGCTCAGTCTAAAGTATCAGCTTCTAACAAAAATAGCCACTTCTCACAGCGAATCTTCAGCATGTTTTTTCTAATATCCTAAGAACGATGCACACGACAAATAAGAAAGTAAGAAGGCCCAGCTCTAAACAGGACAGGAACACATGGAAAGGCAGCAAAAAGCAAAAGAGCTGGGAAAGAACTGTTTTAATGCTCCTGCAGCCTCACTAGCATAATTGCAGTTCTTTGGGGGGTATGTCAGGAAACATGAAATATAGAGTTCAAAGTAACCTTATCCATCCCAGCTCAACTTTATTCTTAGCACACTCGGTGCTTAGCACATTCTTCCTGGCCTTATTTGGTTTGGGGAGGGTCCTGTGAAGCTTACCGCTGACTAAGGGGGAGGGTAAATTTAGGTGATTTTCTCCACTTTGATTCTTAGTCGCAGTTCAGAGCCAATTAAGACGTCATTTTAAACCTATGAAACTGGTAACTTCTTCAGTTTGGGGTTCTTGTTGTACTCTTCTGATTTGCTGCAATTAACACACATACCTATGATGTTCATCTAAGTATTACAGAACACTGTTAAAAAAGTAAATAGTAATGGTTTATATAGTTGAATAACATGAAGGCAATATGCAAAAAATATTAAACAGATCAGATTTTTTCTAGATCTGATTCATGGAAACAATTCATCAGCTCAAAAAATATATACTTTTAAACAAGATTTTATAAAGCTAAAAATAAGTAGACTTTTAAAACAATTTAGAGGAACAAAAATATTAACAATTTAAATAAGAATAATGGTTTTATAAACCTGAGCAATCTTTTCATTCTATTGCTTGCACTTTCACAGCTGTGGAATTACGTATGTGGGTAAGAGCTTGAAAATGAAATTTGCAAAAACGTGCCTTCAAACCAGCATACCTCTACCTAAATGTCATCGTCCCATGAAATTAGACACCACCTGAAACAGTTCTTACTAGGGAATCTATAGTCTGCTCGTCTCTACTGCATGGGCTGGTATTTGCACTTCTCATCTTCCTCCCAGGAGATATAAGCACCTGGCTCTGTGGCAAAGTACAAGGAAAGGAATCCATTTATCCAGTGCACAAGACACAGAAGTGAACATTCACAGAACAGTTTACAGTCACCACCAGGATTTTTTTTTTCCTCTGCTCTAACTCACTTCTAACCTGCCACATGTCTGAAAATGTCAGCCTTTTCTAGACAAAGCTTACAATCAGCACTCCATCCCCTTTCTTCTTCGGCTCTACTGACCAAATCTTTTGCACTGACAGGTTTTGATTACTCATTGCTCAGTAGTCAGTGCTTTTCTGATCACCCTTCTAACCCTCCCTTTGCTCTGTTAGCCTGTCCTTCAGAAGATTCTCCTCACTAAGACTGATGAAAAGATTTTAGACAAGACCTCATTCCCTCAGAAATACTCTTTCTTGAGTACCAAAACGTTCTGTGGAATCACATTCACATCAACAAAACACCTGCTCGCAGTAGCTTGGTGATTAGTAAAGGGTGCCAGGATGTGTGATAATAAGGCAAGGCCCTTGTCCTTCTTCATTACTTCTTTCTCTTCTGCTGGAGCTGTTTCTTTTTACACAAGCAGTTAAATATTTTGGGTCACCTGTATTTTGACAGCTATGCTACTTGCTTGAGATGTGAGAGATATCATCTGATATGAATACCCCATGCACAGAATTAATCAATATTGTGAAGTCAGGATTGTTTTAGCTTGTATTATCATTCAAACTGAAATAAAATAATACAAACCCAGTTTGGGTATACAAGAAGAGAGAACTGGGGAAAATATTAATGTCTGAATTTTGTTCTTGTTTTATGTAGCAAGATCCTGAGCTTGCGGACTATATCCAGACATATCTGCTTGTATAACTGTATGTTTCTGGTTGTCTGTCCCTCAATGTTTCCATTTCAGCTCCTACCACCTGCCCTCTCGCCTCCATGCCTTACTTCCTTTGCTGTTATTTATGCTCACTCAGTCACGGGCCAATATTCTGAAACCAAAATATAAGAGCAAAGAAAGTGAGAGAATCCAACTGGAAATCAATTTTCCACAATATCAGCCCAGTGGCCAGAAAGAGAACTGCTTGGTAGTCTCTGCATCCCTTGTATATGCAGAACATTCATTCTGGGAAGCAGGGTAAAGCTGTCATATGCACTGATACCTTACAGCAAGTATAGCTCTAAGGAACTACTATATCAGAAGTTACACAGTTGCTCCTTTTAAGGGGAGGCAAAGTCAAGGGAGGTGATTGTCATTTTTACTGGAGATAATCATGGCGTTTGCAAAAATACACAGAACTTAGATAAACCAAGTTCTATTTCAGTGTATATGCATGTACATTTTTTTTTGAAAAACAAACATTACCATCTGATATTTATACAGAATATCATATTTCTTCTTTAGGAGTCTAAGCAAGGGAAATTCTCAAAATTTTGTTCAGGGCTGGTTAGAAGTTTTGCTAAAATCTGAAGTTTAGTGCCTGGCTCGAGATTAGGAGTTTCTTCTGCACTAATCTGTGAAACTCATGTTATGCAGAAGGGCAGCAGAAAAACTATACAGCTCTCCATCCAACAAAGTAAATATTGATTCCTTATGTACTGAACTTGACCCAGAATGTATGTTGGTGGGACCCTTCTCTGTCTAACCTGATAGGAAGTCTTCTTTTGTAAAATGTCCCTTTTCTCTCCTTGTTCATACTTCAAACTATAACAAAACTGAAAACAAATGAAAACTACTTTGGTTCTTGCAAGTGATATCCAAACCTGGATACACATGAGTTCTCCTCATTTTCTTCCCACCAGGTCTCAGGCACAATGTGAAAATGCTGTTGGCTTGAGTAAGCAATAGGCACTCTCTTCCCACTTACAGGGGCTACACAGTTAATGAACTGTCCTGGGATCAGATCTCACATTCAGTAGTGATGGAGGGACTTGTAGCAGCAGGTTAAGTATCTCTTCTCACACCAGATACATGAGATATACAAGTCTGTGCTAAAGAAACTAAAATGAAGGTTCTCTTTGTTCAGTAGTTGCCTGGGTAGGGAAAAACTAACAGTCTTATGAAGAGGTGAGAAGGAAGCACTACATGCTGCTACAGACGTCTGCAGGTGACCACGTGCCTTGATCTCAGATAATGTATTTCAGTGAGAATCCTAACTGATGAATCAAAGAAAAGCAATTATTTGAACCTTCTATTTCAGGAAAATGTCAGAGGTTTGCTATTTGACACGCTCTAATACAATCTCCCGCTTTTAAATGAAAATTTGTGTTGTTCATATAATCAAGGTAAAAGTATAAGAATACTTTATGAGCTAATTTAACAAAGAAGCATTTGAGGAATTGAGTAAAACCATCAGTCAACAAGAAAATGCAGAACAATGTTTGAGCTTGTCTCTAACACATTACCAAGGAATTCACAGAGTTCAGTCTTACAAAATCAAACTAAGCAAAAGAAAATAGCTTTGTATCTCAGTGCATGTTCAGCAGCACAGCAGGGTCAAGGAAAGGAAACTTAACCTTAACTCCAATTTATCTGATGAATCCTGGGAGTACGTTGTTATCAGAAACAGTCAGTAATCAACTGATAAGAACTAAATATAGGATAGAATTATAATGCTAGGGAGAGGGTGGGCGGTACTGAAACCAGTGAATAGTAAAGACACATGCAGGAGCAAATATAGGGTAAGAGTGATGTATGTAGCTGAGCTTTGATGTGAATATGAAGAAACACACTAATATAAGTTTGAGGCATCAGCTGATTTCCACTGAAACAGGTATTTCCATTCCGATTTTTGTTTGATTTGTATTTAGGAATACAGTTACTTATAGATGAGATTTTCATTCGATCCCAGTGTTATGGCCCTTTTTTTCCAGTACAGATAGGACCACATTTTCATATTCTGATGTCCTTGAAGTCCTGATCCGTCAGAGATGTAGTTGTGACCTTCTATGGACCATCACAAAACTCCAAAATAATTGTTTTCTGTTAGTGATTGATATTTCATGAATAAGAGTTGTAAGATTTTTGGAATCAACATGACAAAAATATACACCTATTTTTGATATTCTGAAGTACACCAAAACTGCAGAACTAAATAAGACCTAAGTATCATATCTGATCTAGGTTAAAGCTTGGTATATGTTTAAACATTCTCATAAATCAGTCTGCTTCATTTCTCAATTAGAATTACATACATAGTACCTTTAAACAATTTCATCATTAATATATGGGACAGTCAGTTGAACTCCATAGTAGTTCTGTCCTACATTTGATGTGAACATCTGACAGACAGTTAAGAAACCCCGTCTCTGCAGGCAGACTGGTCTAAGTGCAAATCAGCCTCCGTCTGGGGACTACTGACAGGCACCCTGGGATCACATCACCTTGAGGCTCTGAGCTCATTAAGGGGCATTTGGTAGGTTAGATTTCACAAAAAGAAATTACTCCAAAGCTATGTTATAGAAACTCAGCAGATACAAAAAGAAACATCTATGATACTGAGTATTCCACTTTACCATAGACAATACTCCCAATTAGACATTATACTGCAAAACTGCTGATGTAACTTCAGTCTGCTTGTGTGACTGAATAATGAACCATTTCCAACACCCAAAAAGGTCCATTGACTATAAAACTACTTCCAGGAAACTAAGATGTTGCAAGATATCTTATTTGGTCTTCCTGCAAGATGACTGAATAGACAGTCAGTGGAGGGAAATCAGGGAAAGGCAGCCCCCTTGTTTAGGAGAGTGGTTTTTTTCAGTATTTTTCTGTATTCTTTGCTCTAACCAAGAATTATTATGAGCAAGGTTCGTGGAGGGCATCTGTTGCAGCGTGTCAAGATGGACTGTATTTGGATGAACTTTCGCAGTTCCAAATTACATGAATTTTCTTTTGCTTTAATCTACTTCATTCTTGATGTTGTTAACAGATTTTATTAGCACCCTTGTGCCTT